TCCTCCTCTAATTAGAGAAGAAAAAGTAACAGTTCAGATTTGTCTGTGGATTTCAACGCTGACTGATGTGGGTTGTTGTTCTTTTTTTCCTTTTTTCCATTAAGTACACTAGTAAACTTTACCTAGGCAAGACTTTTACCAGACAAGACTGTTTTTTAAACTTTATACTTAAAACTCACATCACCCTCTTCATGAGATACTCTTCTGTTGTGGCAATACAAGCATTATTTTATGGAAGATCATAGTATTTATTATACTTTTATTAGCACACAGAAATATTTAAGGCATTTTCTCAACAAGAAGGTTTAATGTCATTAAGGTTATGTCTTTGTTAAGATTTGTTAATCTATAAAGAGTATGCTTTCAATATAGGTATATAGGTATGAATATTCAGAACTCAGTATACATTAAGGTACTGTATTTAAATAAATATAGATTCTTAGATGCATCGGGGATTTTATCTGATGCTGTCTCCTACCATAGAGAAAAGTCTCAGGAATGGTAAATCCAGGTTATTTTTTCAGTACCCTGAGGAAAGCCCCTGGCTATTCTTCTATACTTTCAATTGAGCTAATATTGCAGTTGCTTTTATTTGAAGAGTAAAAGTGAGGTAGAGAAGTAGTCATTTTTCAAGTTTATAATTCCATGCCAGTTACAAATCTTTCTCACTTTTGCCTGCTCCTACGCTTTATATAGGTGCATGCCTCTAACCATTTTAAAAGAGCAAAAAGAAATCAGATACAAACGGGTTACTTGCTCAAGGCCTTTAGCTAGTGTTGTGTTAAGTGTATTTGGTTTTCACCCAGCACGTGAGAGATTAAAACACTCTGGTTTGCATTGTTATGCCTTACATGATGAGTAATTCCCTCTTTCTATCCATGTTGCTTCAAGAAGCTGACTTTAGACTTTCATGGGGGGCAGAATGAGGGCAGAATGAGCCTGGCTGACTCTTCCGTTACACACAAGAGCTCCAAATGCTACTCCAGCCCAGAATCCCCCATGATCACCTTTGTGCTCTGAGGCTTTGAATGTTCTGAGCACAGATGTTCTTGCTGAAGTTTCTTCTGACACCTCCACTGCTTTTCCATTGCATATGTTCAGATGCTGCAAAGCAAGCTTGCGTTATTATATATGCCTAAGCCTGAGCTCTTAAACACATCACCTACATGACCCAGGGTCCAGTGGGTTACAACACTTGGTTCTAACATTTTCATTCACTGTAAGGACTATCTAATTACAAATGCAGTCCCACTGCCTTCACTAGTATTGTTCATGAAGTAATGGGCAATTCAGTAGAAAGAAGAAGCATATAATCTGAGCCAGCACATTCCAAGATCTTGAAAATTCAGAAAAGGTAATATGAGACAAACAGGATTTTAACAGAAAAGGAAATTAATAACCAAGATGGTAGTCTTGGCAGGTGGTATGGGGAAGTTGAGAAAATAGGGCTAAGAGTGTTATTTAAGGGGAAATTAAACTTTTGGCTTTTAGTTCTGGACACATTATTGATATTAAAATAATTTTTATGGGGAAAGAAAAAACCTCATTTGCGGAGTTTCAGAGTTGGAATAAATACTTCTTTCAGTGTCTAACTTGAATAGTGGAAGTGAAAAAACCCAGACAGTGGGTGTTAAAGAAAAGGCATGTTCTCCTAGAAGGTGTCTAATAATTGACTTCTACTACCTGTCATTCATGAATGCTACTTTGTTGGAGTGCAACAAAGGAAAGCATACCTGTTTATACACTATATATCTAATACACTACGCTGCTTTCTATAAACATTCATCCACAAGCACACACACTAAAGTTGACCAATCTTATTATTTCTAGTTCTGCAAGTATTGCAGTTTTAACTCTGAAGATATCCTTCTTGTGGCTAGATCAATGAGACAGAATGCAGCATTACTAAGTATAGTAGTTTCATACTTCTTTTTCTTATTTGTAACAGCCACAGGCACTTTAAAGGTGGGTTACCTTGTCTGTTTCTGGAGACTAAATTGTTCAATTTGCATATATGAACAACATAGAGAAAGGAAGAGGAAGGGAGGACAACAGAATAAATTTTTAGGAGGGACTATGGGAGTTCTCATAAATGCAACGGGTCATTTCTACTGCTTGGATCTTCACCAGAAATTTACATTTTTATTCTTGTAATGCTTCAGGTATCTTGCAAGGCAGTTTTCCTTGGACATTTTAATGCATTCATATCTTTCTTTCTGCACTACTATACATACATAGTTATTCGGGGATCTAGAACAGACAGCTGCAGAAGCAGAGGGGAAAGACATGCCATTTATCTGACTTGCAGTCGGTTGGTAAAAGGTTTGGAACTGTTTCCATCATGAGTAGGTTTGTGGGACAGAGACTGGCCCAACCTGCATCCATCTATGTAAATTATCTTTGTGCAAAATATTATGTGGTTTATTTGGTTTGGTTTGGTTTCATATAACAGTATAAGAAGAAAAAAAAAACAACAAACAAAACAAAACCAAACGCCATTTACACTGATGGGTGCTATACAGAATCCTGACTTTCAGAGGCATTTTTAAGACTGTAGTTGAAAGTGTAAAATTCACAGTTTATACAAGTAATTCAGCTGTTAGGCAACACTGAAACTTCTTTAATGTGACCAATTACTTTGTAGGCATCCAGATAATTTTCAGAAATCAGTGCTGGAAACATGACAGATAGTTCAGAGTTGTCATCACAGAGTGCCAGTATAACTTCAACAGACGGTCATGTAAAAGCACTTGGTTTCTGCAGCAAAAATAACGACTTTAGTTTACTCTGACTTTCATTTTTATTCTAAAAACACAGAGCGAAAACCAAATGAAGCTGCTAAAACTTTACCAGGCTTGAAATGGAATTGTTGGTATTTATGTGGATTCCATTTAAAATAAAAGGTCAGGCCACACATGCCTGAAACTCAGTCCTGACTCTGAAAATCTTTGCCAGTTAAGAAAATATTTACAGTAAGCCTGGCTCAGTTTTCTGGTTTGTGATAAGACATTAAAACACTTTGGCACTAAATTAAATTCTAGATACTACACTGAAAGACAGACACAGGTTATTGGGTGGGTTTCTTTTGGCAAAAGCCTGTGTAAGTCAGAAAAGTACCACATATTCCCATCTTCTCAAGGTGACTTGCATAACTTGTTTCCTTTGTCTTTGACCATAGGACTCAACCAATGAATTATTTTTTTATGTGACGTTAGGGCACAGTTGGAGATAGACTGTTCCTTATTTTGCTCCCTCCAGAGTAAGATAAATTAAGTGGACTGTATTATAATTGCTCTAATAAGCCAAACATTCTCAGGACGTATTCAAGCCATCCTAGAACAATATTAATATATATATAGTCATATGAAATGTATTGTTTCTTAAGTTTTGGATTATCTATTAATATGCAGTCAGGTAAATAATTTTTCCTCTTGAGCAGAATTCTGTGGAGCATACAGGAGCTTGGACTTCCATCATGAAAACAGTCAGATAACGTACAATAGTATTTTAGTGTCTGGTATTAGATGCCTGCTCAACATCTCAAAATTGAACAAGCTCAAGACTACTCCAAACTTAGAGCCAGAACATCTGGCTCCTTCAGAAGGAAGCAGAACCTGCTCTCTGAAGCACTGGGGAGAAATTCTGACTTCATTGAAGTCAGTGACAAAGAAACTTACTCAGTGGTACCCAGAACTGACATGAGTCCCGTGTAGAGATGGACAGCAAAGAGAATCTTGTACTATGTGATAGGTAGCCAGTCTCTCTTTAATTTGATGCTGCTGCAAATTTCCTACTTGAAGGGGAAAAAGGAACAAAACAATGCCAACACACCTTTCCCAAGCTTTAAAGCAGTTTTGTGTATGCAGTTATTGAATTTGCAGTTTTCATTGCAATTTATTGATCTAATTAGCATTCTAGAAATTGTTGCCAGTCATCAAGACCATTGTTTTCCTTTAAACTTGCCCTTCAAACCATAGTTCATGGTTTGAACTATGAGTATAAATATAAACAAGTCCTTTTTGTGGTCATTTTGGGAACCCTTCTTTTCTCTTGCTTGATCTGTCTTGTTTTCTGGGGAGTGATTAATTCACCTCTAATAAGGAGTGAAAGGGGAAAAAAACAGGAGGTGGGAGGGAAGGTGAGCATTCTTTCTCTTCTCTGGACTCCTCATGCTCTCTCCTATTCTCTCTCTCCTTTTTATCTGTTGTGCCTGTTACCTATCTTATTTTTTTTTTTCATGCCTTCATTAATTAATTATGTTTAAACTTCCATGACTAACCTATGCCTTTTCCTCGCTCTCATTCCATTTTCTCCTGTCATTGTCCAAAGCTGTAAATTTGCCTCCTGTTCTCTAATCTATTCCTTTTCCTGTCATCACTTTATTTCAAGCTCTCTGCCCTGCCTCAGCATTTCTGAAATGTGTAATTGTCTCCCCTCTTCTCTCCTTCTTTTAAAGTGTTGATACCATATTCACACAGCAGGGATGTGCAAAGTGGAGACAGGGATAGCAAATCAGGAAGGAATCTTTTATATCAATAAAGTGACAAAGTAGTAGGTATCTGCAAACGATTGTGATTGTACCTGAATTCTCTCTCCATCCTGGGAAAATCATGGTAGAGATACACACTATGAAAACACCGAACGCACAGTCCATCAGCAGTTTACGCTGTTGCTTTTAGCTTTGGGCCATTCCAGCGTAATTCAGGAAAGATGGAGCTAAGTCAGCCTAAGTCTTAACACAATAGTAGTTCACCTTCAGACCTACTAAACCATAAATCTTTTGCTTTGTGTCTTGCTGCCTAAAAAGTATTGCTATCTTAAAAGCTGTGTTCTTTTCTAATGGGAATCAAAATAGGGGGCATAGCAGAAACCCCAAGAAAGAGTATAAAGGAGAAATGGAACAATTAATAGAAGCCAAACTTTAAAACAATTTCTCTTGATGAATGTATATTTAAAAAGGGGAATATACCACAATAATCAACCAGGTTTTTTGCCTTCAGCCTGTCTGAGGCCATGTGGTTTGGAGATCTGATCACTAGTCCGAAAAGGAAAGGCTGTTTGCAAGATTTCTGGGGTGTTTTTTCCTGGAAAAGGTGAGAGGACAAAAGCAGAAATCTATGACATACACTTTATGCCTTATAAGGAAAGTATTCATCTATCTGTCTGTCTCTCTGTCTATCTATCTATCTATCTATCTTTCTACATACATATATATAGAGATCTATATGTTTCAAGCTGTCACTAAATTGATTTGGAGGCAGGTATTTCATTTACTGTTCTGAGGGTTAGGTTAAAAACTCTAAATTTAATACACGGCTTGAACCATGCGAATTGGATTTTTTTATTTTTATTTTTTTTTTTCTCTTTCACATTCACTGTTCAGTATTTTCTGGAGTTATGCATGGTATTTCCATCAGTAATAACATTTCTGACTATTTGAAGACAGAACAAAGACAAAGCAGAAGACAGTGTTTGAACATTCAAACAGCGTTCTGTAACAATCATGCTTGCTTAATACACCTCAAAACATTTTGTCTTGTATAGTATCTGTGTAATTTTGAAAACATTTCTAAACTGATATTTTGGTTGAGCACGAGTAACTGAGTCCTTTTGTATAAACCAGTCATTACTTTCTCATTTGTGTTTGTGCTGTCTTCAGTATTCTTTCTTTAATAGCATGAGCTTTGGTTCCGTTTCTCTTTCAAACCGCTGCTTCCATTGCATTGTCTTTTAAACAGGTTCATCGCACAGTCCGTTGCCCAGTTTCCTTCTTTTTGGTTTTTTGTGGGGTTTTTTTTGCTGTGTAACTAAAACAATTTTCTGATTCAATTGACTATTAATAAACATTACTTACATTAATTTGCACTTGTAATAACATCGCTAGAGGGCAGTATTGATTAAATTAGGCACACTCTAGTGTGCATTGGAAACTTAAAGGCAGAAAAGCCTCCAGTATAAACACTTCTGCATTTTTAACAAATGGTCATGGCTTTCGTGTCCATTTTTCATCGTGTCCTATATGTAAAAAGTAATAGTCAGCTAAATATGTATTGGATATTTTTATGTGTAACTTTAATGCAGGTAAAAGAACATTCTGTGATATCATTTTTATGAAAAAGAATGTGCACGGAGCTTGGTAGAAAGTAGACAACATTGCAAATATTGTAAATTATCATTATAGTAATTAATTTATAAATAATAATGATTGAAGTGTTAATTTTTAATAAATTAAAATATAGGTTTGTTTTTATGTTTTTCTCAGGGAAAAGGTTTGCTGTGAAAAATAAATATCTTCTAATTAATGAACTGTCCCCTTGAAAAATCTGAGTACAGTATATTTTAAAATAATGGACAGCAAAGATAACCAGGATTGTAAATTAAGAAACTGACTCATTTGTTCTTATTGATTTACAGGTCTCCTGACAAATGCAGCAACACAGAATCTTCGTAGGAGTGGTTTAGGCTCTGTGTGAGCTACTTAGTCAAGTTTCACTGCTGTGGATCATCATCCGTTATATGTCATCAAATCAACTGTCTGTTTCTCTGTATCTCATGAATGAGAGCATAATTCCTCTGCATTATGAGCTAAAGTTTGTTCTACCATACTAAGGATCACTGGACTAAGGAATATAGAAAAAGATATATGCTCGGGCATTAGCAATACAAAAAAGTTCATGGTTAACGTTTCATCTGCGTTATACACCACTGCTGGACTTGCTGTTACCTACATGTTTTAATCTGAAGAGTCTGCTACAATGAAGAGTATCATCCCAATCAGCCTTAGAGAAGACTGTTTTGCCTATGGGAGGACACTAAGGTGCAAAAGAGAAACTCTTCTTGTGCCCTAAACTGTCTGAATTGCTTTTATTTTCTTATACTTTCAGTATATACAATAGACCAAAGAGCAAAATCTATTTTAAAGTGGACAAAATCTTACTGTTAACAGAGTTATGTCATTAAATTGTAGGAGGTCTCCACAAAGACATGATTCCAGCTTTCACAAAGCTGAGATGTTGCTGTCCAGCAGAAGTCTTTATGGAAAGCTGCAGTAAAAACTAACTCAGAGACCTGCTCTTGAAATGCCACATTCGAGAGAACGTAATGGACCACTGAGAGAAAAAGACCTATGGTTGAAAAACTTGGACAAAAAGAACACGAACTGTCTACACGGCACCTTTATTTCTCTGTACTTAGATTGACTTTCTCGTACTAAAATCATTTTCAGTTTTAACCAGTTAAACATGCCTCTTCTACAGTTCCATTTTTGATAGTTAAAGTTGGATAATACAGTATTTGCAAAGAGCATGTTTGGTCATCTGTGGCCTATGTCTCATCTGATACACCATTTAGCACCAGAAAGCAAATTAAAGAGAAAACAAAAGTAACACTTGTTTGAAAGAGATCATTAAATGTATTTTGAAAAGCCTAAAGTTATATATTTAACAGTTTTTATATGTTGTATATTTGTAGAAAATCCTATTTAACAATTAACGTGATAACTCTGACAGTCATGACAAGTGGTTCAGAGTTAAGTTGTGTTTTATTACTTCAGTTGTCTCTGAAGTGACTGGTGTCGTTTGCTTTCTTCCATTGGGACATTCTGGATGTAAAGCATGACCAGAGAGGACTGTGTAGAAAAAGCAAAGAATAATGTTGTTTATATTACATAAATGCATTCAACCATTGCACTGTTGGAAGGCATTTTTTATTTTTATTTTATTTTTATTTTTTGTCTTTATGTACTGATAAAAACAGAGTGTAAGATATTTTACCCATTGCTCTTCATAGCAAGGTTTGGTTTCCTTCCTTCCTTCATCCCTTTCTTCCTTCCTTCATCCCTTTCTCCCTTTCTCCCTTCCTCTCTCTTTCTTTCTTTGTCTTTCTTTCCTTCTTTGTCTTTCTTTGCTTCTTTCCTTCATTCCTTCTTTCCTTCTCTCTTTCCTTATTTCCTTCTTTTTTTCCTTCCTTTCTCTCTCGCTCGCTCACTCTCTCCCCCCTACTTTTATGTAAGGCTCAGTTTGAAGCCTGTTCCTTGACCCCATTTTCAGTATTTTACCTCATTGTTAGAAAGCCCACTTTTTTCAGCATTATTGGTTAGCGAAAATTTAGCCAAGATGGCATAGATGAGGGGGAAATTGTGATAAAACAGAGAAACAAACAAAACCTTGTTCCCTTTTACTGTACCTTTTGGTATAAAAGTTTGGGACATACTGGTATGATGAAATCAACAAGGGAGCTTAATTTGTTCCTGGCAAATGTATTATGGTTTCAAGTATACTACCTAATACTCCAATTAACTTTTAGTGTTATGCTAGTTCTATTCTACTAAAGAAAAGTATATAGAAATTGTTCAAGTGACCATAGGTGAAAGGTACAAAAAAAAGTTGATTAAAGAATTTTTTTTAAAGCCTGCTCTAATACTGACGCTCATTTAATGCAGCAGTTGCAGGAAACATGAACTATAGATCATTTATCTTCAAGTAAAATAAATATATACAAAATTCTTATTTAATCTTAGGATTTTGACCACAGTCCAAGTAGCAATTAAAGCCCAGTCACTTGAAAAGTGTTATGGACTGACTGCACTATAAATGACCAATGTCAGGTTTAACATGTCATGCAATAAATGATGGTAAATACATTTACTGTACATGTAGACCTCAAGAGCCAGATCCCTCATTTTACCAACTCTCTGTTTTGATTTATTTTAAAGGGAGTGTAGTAGCCTTATTTAGTAAATACAGAACAATTAAAGATGTTACATCATTTTTGTTGCTTTACAGTATCCAGTTTTGTGTTGGTTCAGCTAAATTATGAAAAATAAAGAAAATCCTTTTATAAGTGAGACTTTTGTTCCCTGAGCATGACGTCACCAAAGGAATTTCACCAGAGGATAAGTAAGGTGGGGGCACAGAGAGGAAGACTTAGTGATGGAATGGAAAATCAAGGACATGGGTTGTGTTTTGAAAGTCAAGTTTTACCCTTCCCTATTCAGGTGTTGGGTACCTTCATTCTGGTATGTTCAGTTATAAATTAAATTAAGGTCATTTATTTTCCGGAAACCGGCTCCTACTAGAGGATCTAAGAATGCACAATCTGAAATCTTTGCATCTAGAATCATACCTTCCAATCAGTTCTGAATATGCAAGTTTATGTCTTTGATATTTCTTGTCCAGAGTAGACCTTACAACCGATGTACATCTATCTTTCATTGAGCATTTAAAGTACTCAGAAAACAAAGACAAAAAGTTCTGATTATTCATCAGAGATGAATTCTAGTTGGTGAGTCTCCTGTGTACAACAGACACCTCAAAGCACTTAAAATGTGTTTTGTATTTTTCCCTCCTCCCCCAAAATGTACAGTTTCTAACAAAATATACTGGCTGCCTTTGTCACTGTGAATTACTACTCTAAGAGCAGTGGTGAAATGCTTCTCTCTCAGGAAAAATATGTTTTCAGAGTATTGTGAACTTCTAATTTTACAAAACTAAGTTAGATAAAAATAATTTGTTTGTTTCTGAAAGTATTTTATGTGCCTCTTCCAAAGCAAAATTGAAACACAGAGGGGAATGTCTTATTTGAATGCTATTAAATATCCTTCATTTCGTAGCTTGCAAACAAGTAACTTTTTCAAAACACTCTTGAAACGTAACTGGAGAATACAGAAAAACACATAACAGACCAATAAAAACAACTTCTAGAAATGCAGTAAACCCTTAAACATTTTTTGAAAACTTCTCTGTAGCTTTCTGTTAACCCAGGCAAGGACAGATGCAACTACTGCTTTAAACATCTGGGATATTTAATGGAGGAAATATTATTATACTATAGTAATCAATATGACACATCATTCACCCAGTTAATAATTATGCTTTTAACCTTTTTTTTCCAGTTCATTTCTTCTCTGCAGTAGCTCAGGTCTTATGCATGTGGTACCCTTAGTCATTCACTTGTTTACTGAAACTGTTGCATAAATCTTTAACCCAGGCACTTACTATCTAATATAGCCTATTCATCACCATTGTGAGTACTAATTAGAGTTTCCAGAAGAAAATAAAGAATTCAACACTGTGTCTGAAGAGCCTATATGGCTATGAGGAACAGCTGAACTAGAAGGTGGTAAAGGTTGGTTTGTTGACAGGACAATCACAGCACTGAGTACCTGGGCCACTGAACTAGATGAAAGGAAAAAGCACAAGTGAACAGCGGATGTAGACACAAGAAGCACCCCCTGCCTCCCCAAAGAAAAACCACCATGCAAAAATGAAAAAAAAAGAAAAAATAATCGGAATATTTGTTCAAGGGGAAAGAAACAGAACCAGCTTTAATCACATAAACCTACACATATGCAGTATCTTTTCTGATAAAAAAAAAAATAAGGTGGCATTGGTTTTTAAAGCTCTTTGGATGATTTGTATTAAGAATAACATAACATGTGAGTAGCAACCAAAGCTGAGGAATGAGTTGAGTAAGGGTGCTGTGTACTTCTACACAAGCAGTCGCTTCTCCCATTACAGGGACAAAGTGAGAGATGACAGGAAAATGGAAGCCTTTAGCACATAACCTTCCCAGATTTAAAACTGTTTTAGATGAAAGACTGGCTCAGTACGACGTAGAATAACATTTTCTATGCATTTCTATGAGATTTGGACTGGACTTCATGAAGACTGGGTTAGAACTTCCACGAATTAGTGGAAAATAGCCCTAGTTTCTGATTCCAAAGCAACCTTTAGCAGAACAGGTATAGTCAGAGGAAGATTCTTCTAGTGGTGAGAATCCTTGGAAGGTAAAATACCCCCTAATTACCATACTTCTTCCCAGGGAGCACAGGTTACCATCGTTAAGGCATGTAAGAGCCACTCTCCATCAATATAACTTAAATCAGCTTGCAAACCAGCTTGTTTTTCAAAAAATTTCAAGATGGGCTAAGGGTAAAATTGTTTTCCAGGAACTTTTATTCCTCCTGCTCCAAACACACAGAAAACAATTTCCTGACATCCCAACAAGGGCAGTAATTTTGTGGCTGGAATTGGGTAATGACTGTCTGAGGAGAATGATGAAGGCAAATGAAAGTGATTTGCCACCTTTGTGGTGAAAATCATAAACCCTGAAGAAGGTGGTTCATATACTTAATGAAAAGAAAAGAAGTAACTTGTGTTTTCTTTTTCCTTCTTTCAGATATATTTTATAAATTATCCTTTTTTATTTATCCCACCCTCTTCAAAGAGAATTGATATCAATGAAATCTGGGAACTGTCAAAGCAGTTCAGCCAAGCACTTCCTTTCAGCTAATGCCATGTCTTAACTGGAATCTTTTTAAAATTACTGGGTTCTCCAGGTGGCAAAATATATCATAGCCTTCCCTAAAGTGAAGTTTCTTCTGATCTTCCAGTTACTGTTTGGTGTAAACTTTACAACTTAGAAGAATGCAGTCTTTATATATATTTTTGTCTTACATAGTTACAGAAGGTATAGCTAAGTAATTGTTTTTTGATTTTTTTTTTTTTTTTTTTTAACATCACAAAATTGATGCTACATTGATGCAATGAATCTTGGACTGGCCTTAGGCAAATAAGGATGGATGGAAAACACCTGATTTCAAGCTGGGACTTGAATAAAAAAGGAAGCCCAGCACAAGTTAGATTCTTCCTCAGTAGCACTTGGTTTTCAACACAGATTTTTTTCTTTCCAGAAGTTTGAAGATAGCATCATAACAGTGATAATATTAACTTCCAGCCCATGCAAAGCAAAACAAATTAAGGTGACCTCTGGAAGGGCAGGAATTGTAGCTGAGTAAATAACAGGAAACCGATACCCACAAAAATGAGAAAAATCACAAATAATTTTAATGCCACCCAAGCTCTTTGTTACGTCGTTATTACTCAAATTATAACAATCATAGGAGAATTTGCAATGTAATATACTCAATAACACTTAGAATTCCATACAATCAGATGCTTGTTTTCATTTTAATAAATTTAAAAAGCTTATAGGACATGTCAGTCTCCACTTACCCAAGAAAAAAAAGAAGACAGGGCTCCATTTACCTTACTAGAAAAGAGGAATGCAGAGAATACAGGCTGCACTTTAATATGTTCCATGTACTTCTCACTACATGGAGCCTCTGGAGATAGCAGGGCAAATGTGGGAAGAGTAGAAAGCTTTGCTTCAGAACACTGAACCTTGTGGCAGGAAAAAAAATCTATTTAAGGGCCTGAAGCCAGAAGCTTTGCTGATGGATTAACCAAGTGTCTGTCCAACTAGTCAAGAGAAACCTGAAAGGACAGGGGATATGTACAACATTTAAGGGCATAATTCTTACTTTAGAAATTATAGTTTTTTTTATTCAGCTCTTTTTTTTTTGACAGAAAATATTAACCCATTGTGAATGTACTAGCATCCAGTATTATGTCAGGTAGTGAAAAGGAACACGTATGAAAGATTGCTGGAATTCTGAAAGGAAGGACTTTTTGATAATTACTTTTAAAAATAGTATTAAAAAATGTAGCAAGCATATAGTGCTGCCACAGTTTAATTTAACAGGTATAATACTGGGTTCGTTCTTGATGGTAAATGCCTCCATAACTTTGGCAGGCAAAGCTTGTATACAGACACCTAACCCAGGAGCAGGATTAAGTTATCCCCATCAGTTCTGCCATCTGGAGGCTGAGCTGGGATCTTGGCGATACCAGATGCAAATAGGAAATATCTGTTGCCAACATCAGATCTTTTGGAAATTCATTGGTACAAACGTGATGCCGAGTCTTATTTGTTATATAGTCCACAGTTGTTAGTGTCACATAGTTCAAGTCCTTCACATCCAAAGAATAGCTCTCAGAATCTGAAATATCACACGTGATCGATTTCTTTAGACTGTAAGGATGTTTCAGTGTTTATGGGAATTATGGCTGACTGCAGCCATACCTTTAAGTTTCTGGCACAGCAGAACCAGACATGAATGCCAGCGTCTACTATTTTGGACATTCTGACTAGTGACACTGGAGTGTGACTGAGTGGTGCCTTTTAACTGTTATTATGTGAAATTTCCTTTAGATTATATTGTCCCATAAATCTCTGGCTTGGAAACATGCTACTTTACAATGGAAAGTCATTCCTGATGCCCAGTTTTAATTCCCTTATGTATGCCCAGAATTGCAGTGAGCCATGCAGAAATCCAGATGAGTTAAATTGCTTCTCAGTGTGATCAGTTATATGTGTTCTGGTGACAAAGCAAATTTTTTGTTGAGCTAAACCACAAGTAGAGAAAATCTTAGCAATAGATTCTAGTCGAGGTGGATGCGGAGTAGCCAAAGCCAGTCTCTTTTCTGGACAGAGAGTCCATCTCTTTTCTATATCATTGCAAATAACAAAGTATTCTCTTCTGGAAGGTGATTGCTAGTAAATTGT